TAAAACAACAATAACCTTTCATTTATATATATATATATATATATATATATATATTGTGTTGGCCTTTACAGTTTAATGTGGAACAATTAAGTTGGTTCATTTCAAGATTTAAGAAACTACTCACTTCTACTTTGTTAAAATCCTAACTTACACAGGTATATGCTTAATCTTCCTGAAAGAACTTATAATGCTTGAGCTCTTTATTAGTGTTAGTTCTAGCTGACCATCTTGACCTAAGTGTAGAATACTTATTTTAAGTTAAATCTCTGAACGTTTAGACAGAAAATTTAAAAGTGCCTGTTCTTGGGTTATTCCTCTTAGACACATATTTCTTGGTATACTAAGCAGTTCAAGTGTTAGCCTTGTAAATTTTCATCTTAGAGTACGAAGTTCAAACACTGTTGTTGTTTCTTTTGTTACCGTAGCCCTGTATTTAACCCTATGTGTTTCTGTTTCAGGTGAGGGCAACAGACGGTGGTCAACCGCAGCGGACAGCACTGACCAGAGTAGTGATCAATGTCCTCGCTACTCCAATAATTTCTCCAAATCCCCCACGCGTGAAGCATAAAGAGATGCATGTGAAAGTCAGTGAAAGTGAAATGGTAGGCCATCTGGTGGCGTTGATTGACGTTGAAGACGTGGACGGGGATAAGCTGTGGTTTTCTATTACAGGTAAATAAGAAAAACTTCAATCATTAAGAAATAGCCATTGGTCAGCTACAAGGAAGATATAATGATTAGCATCTGTTTTGTAATGTATTGTTTTATTTAAAAAACACCAAAACAAGCAAAGTAGTTAAGGAAGGAAAACACGTGAGAAGTGTTATACAACAAAAAAACTTGGTTATTGGATAATGGAGTTATTTTAAAACTTTATTGGTCATTGGTCAAAAACTACATTCCTAGTATGAGAAGGGCAATGTAAGTTTCGTTAGTAGCTTTTAAGTTAAAACGTTGTTAAACTATACGTTATTGGGATTAATAATAATGTCTCAAGTTACTGATCTAAAATACATGATTTCATGTTAAAATCTTCTCCCTGAGGAGCAAAATAACCAATTTATTGGTCGTAAAGTAATGCATTTTAGAATACGGTACTTCTTCCTGAGAAGCAAAATAACCAACTTAATGTTCTAAAATGCATTACTTTACGATACAATACTTCTTCCTGAGAAGCAGAATAACCAACTTAATGTTCTAAAATGCATTACTTTACGATACAATACTTCTTCCTGAGAAGCAGAATAACCAACTTAATGTTCTAAAAT